CAGGAATTCGAAATTCTACCCTTTTGCCATGACAGTCCAAGTTAGCATAATTTTGAGCAAGCCAGTCCATTCCCAAAATAATATCAAAATCATGCATATCAAGAATAATTAAATTGGCAGGAAGTTGTCTCCCCTCAACATGCACCAAACAAGACTTGCAAACTTGATTAGTAACTAACGTTCCCCCATTAGGGGTGTTAACACACATCCCCCATTCTAAATAGTCAATAGGTACACCAAGTTTTGATGCAAATGTAGTAGATACAAATGAATGAGAGGCACCAGTATCAAATAAAGCATGTGCATAGGATGAAGAAACTAAGAGTGTACCTGTCACTACATCATTAGATGCCCGTGCATCCTGTTGAGTCAAAGCAAAAACACGACCTTGAACTGGAGGTTTCTGACTTACTCCTTTACTTGAACCTGCAGTAGATGCTCTCTCACTGGCAACTGACTGATTAGTTGGGGCACGTTGAGTAACCTGGGTGTTTTGTCTACCTTGAGAACAATTAATGGCCTTATGTCCCTGCTGCCCACATTTGAAACATGAATTTGGTGGGTACCTTGCATGAATACAATTGGCTGCACGGTGCCCAGCTTGACCACACTTAAAGCACAAACCTAACAGCCATCTACAATCCTTGGGTTCATGGGGCCCTCGACATCTCCAACACTGAACATTTCCCCCCTGGTGCATTCGATTCCCAGAAAATCCTGTGTTTTGTCTTTTGCTCTGTATAAAACTGTGATTAGTGGAATCTTTCTCGCTTAAGGCACCCATCCATTTCTGTTTCTTAGTGCCAACACTACTCTCCTCTGCTGCTATAACCACTTTCTGACCTTGCTCTATCACTTTGGCTTTGTTAACTGTTGTGGAATATGTACTTACTTCAAATTTCTGAACCTCAGATAGAATATGTGGATTTAGCCCATAGAGAAATTTCAACCTCCTAGATTCCTCATCCTTTTGAGTAGCCAGAGGAGCAAACTTTAAAAGCCGGTTGAATTCCTTCTCATATTCCTTCACAGACTTGTCACCTTGGATAAGGGTATGAAATTTTTGCTGCATCTCATGTCTGTCACTTTCAGGTAGATACTCCTTAAGGAATGCTTCTGTGAAGGTACTCTAGTCAATTGGGGAAGTGTGCTTGCTTTCTTCTACCTCCCACCAATTATTTGCATCACCTTTCAACAAATATGCAGCATATGGCACCTTATTCTCCTCAGTGACACTCTGCCCTCGAAAAGTCTTCTCCATTTCCTTGACCCAGTTTTCTGCCTCTAGTGGATCCTTCGAATCTCCATGGAAAGGCTTAGCAAGCTTAACAAACTCTGCTAAGCCTCCCTTTTGGATAGGCTGTGGTGTTGAAACCTTTTCCTGCTGCTCTGCAATTACCCTTGCTTGTTGCTCTGCCAAGGACTTGACTAACTCTTGTTGTTCAGCCATAGTCTTTGCCATAGTCTGCATAATTTCCATGAAATTTGGTTGACTTTGTTGTCCCAACAGTTGACTTTGTCCAACATTTGTATTATGTTGATCATGATTCCTTGCAGAAGAGTCCAATGACTCATTTTGAACATCATCCACCTCAACCTCATCTCGATTAACAGGCTCACTCCTAGCAACTAATGGAGTTCTCCCACCAGCACGCGCACTTAGGGGTGGTCTACCCCTGTGCCCTGTTCCACGATTTCCCCCAGCCATAGCCTTTCACCAAGTCTACTCACAAAATGGACAACAAGGATTTTAACCACAAAACAATATTATACAAATATTATTTAATTAATAACATATGCAGTATGACCCATTTCTATTCCTACCCCACTCTCACAAATCATGTACTAGGCTACAAAACCAACCCTAGCCCTAGAGGTCTCAACCATGTTGCTCTGATACCAAAAATTGTCACGCCCCAACTTAGGGGTTAGGACATGACAATGCCACATACCTTTAGGAGTGACCCCAAAAGCATGTAAGGCTAAATCAGTCCCTAAAATT